TTGAAAGTTTTCTTCTTAACTTCAACATGCATCCATATATCCCATTATCAGCTTCAGTTACATTCGAGATGATCAGAGTAGCAGGCTGCTCGATTCTGACTCGAGTAGGATTCAACAATCTTGCTGGACACGTTGTCGTCTTTATGACCGCTGACGATGACGGATCTTTTTTTACCGTTGCTATGGTAACCCATTGATTGTTTTGGTCAATATAGCTCAACACGGGTGATTCTGAAAAGAGCCTGATATTTCGGTTATCGTAAGTGAACTTCCATTCGAATCGCGCTGCTTTACCCCTTGAAACAAACATAGTACTCGAGGGCACTTTAGTGAAACGAGCCATTTTATCTGACAACAGATATGTATTAAGCATAAGTAGTAACTTAGAATTTACCGCCATGTTAATAGCATTTTTCTATTGATCCATGAATCGATATATTTTCCATCAGATCAGTGCGGAAACACAAACCTGGACTACTTGAACAAATTAAATTAATATCAAAATCTCTCATAAATTCTATGTGTCTTTTTAAGATATTTAGGCTTCTTTGCTTGCTCCTGCTTGTTTAAAGCTTGACTTAAGTTTGATTCCTTTGTTTTCACTGATCATTATCGAATATATAACTTTCTTCAAGTGTGGTCCCGGTTATGGTGTGTCCGCACTAAAATTTATTCATTTATCTCTTCATTCAGCCTGCCTTGATTCCCTCAATATACATGACATATGTTTAATCAAATCAATCGATTATGAAACAAGTTCCAAATCCAACATTTATTGAACCTCCTCATTCAGGAAAGAATCGCATATGTTACAATTTACCTGACACTATGAGTTCCACTTTGTTAGTGATTGAAGGAGATATTCTTAGCACCAAAGATATTCCATACCATCCACTGTCATTCTTTGTTACGTTAGAAATGACCAAAGTAGCAACTGACTCTTTGCTAACGCGAACTGTAGGGTACAACAGCCTTGGTGGACATGTTCGTCGACTTATCGTCCACTTCCAACCACGCAGCCCATCATCAACTGCTATGACTGACTTAGTATGTCCATCAGGGTTATAATAATACCAGACTGGAGATGAGACATAATATCCAAAGTCCATGTTCTTGTCATCAACAGTGTAATTCCAGTTAAATCTCACTGTTTCTTCGGCGAATGCTTCAATCCTTGATGGGGAATTAGTTAGCACAACTTCCTCATCTGTTAAATGGAAATATGTTTGTTATTGCACACAAATGATGTTACATTATAGCAATAAGAGAAAAACAAGAACCGACGCAGACCTAAATTAACAAGAAAAGACAGTAAATGAACTAAATTATTACCAAAAAAGGTAAAAAGCTAAGAATGATGACTACAGTGTATTATATTTTAAAGCGGATTCAAATTTATGTCCCAAAATAATTCATTCAATATAATGTTGGGTATTATGAGCCGACGCACCTCAGACTTCCCCCAGCGTAGCCTGCGTACCGGCTCTTGGGGAGGGGAAGGGGGGTTGGGAACCCCCGCCCTCCCCCTCCCCAAGAGCCGCTATGTAGGCTACGCACAAGTGTTGGATGCGCACAGGCATTTAGCTAGTGTTGTATTGGGTGTCTCTCAGGCAAATGAAACACTGGCTTTAGTGTAGATTAAAATAGTAAAATAATAGTAATGATATAATAATAATAGTTTTATTAATACTTAATTATTGGCAATACAAAATTGAAAAACTTAAGTTTACAAATAAATATACATAAAGATATGCAAATATATGAATAT